GCCCCGGGCCCCACGGCCGGCGTGGCACGGTGCTTAGCAACCGCGGATGGTTCTGGGACCCGGTGAGGTCGGGGGAGGGGACTGCGTGTCCCTTGGTTGCTCCTGACCGGCTACGCGGGGGAATCCGCTGGGGTTGCCCTGGTTGCAGACCAAGGGACCCCCACACGAGCACCCCTTGCCCCGCGTGGGACTTAATTCCGAAGTTGGGTACTGCCTGGGGGGGAGTGCCTCAAACTTGGACACTTCACAGGCACTTTTCAGCTCGTCTCAATCGGAGGTGGCAAAGCTTTATTTAAAGAAGAATTATACGCACATGTATCTCTACAGGCATTCCAGTCAGCACATGAATCAAGCAGATGATTTTGTAGCATCCAGTCGGCCTTAGGTTTTCACCCGAACTAGTTGTTTACCCCCTTTTCCAACTTGTCTTTTTCACGGAAGTTGCTTCCTCCCACTTTACCTGTTTAAGGGAACATAGGTGTTGGAAGGCAACAGTAAAAAGTCACCAAATCTGAGATGTCCTCAGATAATCCAGCTCCTGATTGTCATTGTTGGCCTGGAGCAGCCATGACTTTCCTTATGCCATTCTTGCTTACCAGGTCTGAGAGCACACAAATGAGTTATCTTTTGGACCTTACAAAAATTGTATATAATTGTTTAAAATATGTGTGTATGTTAAATTTCATATAAAATTTGTTATAAAAGAATTTAACTTAGCACTTTGATTTCACAAGTAAACTTGTACAATACCACACAGTGGCAGAACCAGAATTAGAGAATCAAGAGCTTCCAACTCCCAGTCTGGTCTTATTCATACATATATGTTTGTTTTACAACTCATGACTAGTTCCCTACAAATTCTTCTGCCCACATCAACAGCTGGGCAATGATGCAGATATAGAGATGGAGAATAAGGCCCAGAAAGTTAAGTGACTCATTCAAGCATAGTTACTATGCTGGTATTACCAGTACCCAGGTTGTCTGTTTCTTAGGGAAGGCTTTTTCACTTGTGGGTTCCTTTAAAAATTATATCATTTCATTTCAGGAATGTCGGATTGCGCACCCTGTTGTGAAGTGTACCTACTGCAGGACTGAGTACCAGCAAGAGAGGTAGAGTTTTGGTTCAACATGAGAGCTCTTAATAGGCTTTTCCTCTTGAGCTGTGATGCATTTCATGTAGGGATGTGTCATCAATTGCATTGTAATAAACACATAGGCAATTACAGTATGTATACACATTCTGCAGTTTCCTGTTTATATTGAAAAATATATAATCCACATATCACTCTAGATAAAACCTATTGATTGCCTTTTTTGGGGGTGCTAGTCCCAGGGCCAAAGGTGCTTTCTCTTAGCTCTTTTGCTTAAGGCTGGCACTCTACCACTTGAGCCACTGCTCTATTTCTTGACTTTTGGTGGTTAATTGGAGATAAAGAGTCTCAGGACTGGGGCTGGGAAGGTGGCTCAGTGGTAGAGTGCTTGCCTTGCATGCATGAGGCCCTGGGTTCGATTCCTCAGCACCACATAAGCA